TTCATTTTCCCCATTTGGGATAAAATTCCTTCTATGGTAGTTTTAAAGATTTATATAATAGTGAGACACTATTTACTAAATCAAAATAAATTTTATATCTGATTATGAAAATAATGTTAATTTTAGGAAATATGGATTATATGGGAAAGTAAAGGGAATAATATACATAATCCTCCAAACCAGTGTTTTTTTATTGATAACTTGAAAAACAATTTCCTCCATTTTTGTGTGTGTGTGTGTGTATATATATATAAAGTAAAAAAACATAACTAGACTTTGAGTAAAAATCATTTTTCTCCTTAGGACTTAAAGAAGTAAGGAACAAAAAGTAGCAGCAAAAACTCTCCTTTCCTGAGAACTGACTTGTGAATGAATCCAGCATTTTCGAAACTGATGTGTAAATTGAAAACCTTTCAAGGAGATGTTAATAGGCATAAAAAAGGTTAAAGATTTATAGTGTACATCAATACATTAAAGGCCCCCAGAAGTCCTATTAAGAAATTGTTTAATTCAATATTTCTCAAACTTATTTAATCATGGAAAAGTTTTCCAGGTACACATATTTTCGTCCTATAACACTAAGGTTTCAGAGGGAACAAATTTGGAAGATACTGAACCAATGCCATAATTTTAAATATTAGCTTTATGAAAATTGGACAGGATTATTCTAACATAAGCTTACACAGTAGAAATTGGAATTACTGGATTTTTTATTGCTCCTGTGGTTCTTGGAGGCAAATTGAAGGTAATACCTGCTTCTTCAGGTATTAGGTGTATTGAGGGGGAGGGAGGGAGGGAGGAAGTGAGGGCTCGTCAGCTAAGATAGAGAGTTGAGATGTCTGTAACAACTTCACACACACACACACACACACACACACAAACACACACACGAGCGAAACTACTCATAGATAATCACTCTGGCTTTTGGTTAGAAGTAGAATTTTCCAGAACAATATTTACCTGATATTCTTGGTTTCTTATGGGGGTAAAAAGAAACTCTTTTAATTCCCTTCTTTTTTTTTTTTTTAACATACTAAGATTTAAAAAACCAACCACCAATTTTCAAAATACCTTAATTTAGTCCAACCTTTTTTTCTCCTCTTCTTTTCCTCCAAATATTGGTTAAGATGTCCATTCTGCCTACATTGTCAGTGTGATGCTATGTGTTTGTATAGCTTTCTACAGACTAAACTAGTTGAGTAGCTGAATATCCTTGAAGAGTTTCTATAGCTCTGGAGACTGGTTCAAAGGCATTGGCACTGTGTCAATGACCTTAATTCTTAACATCTGATGCTGAAAAGTATTTTTTTCCAGGCTCCTGCCTGAGGTTTTGATATTATATGTTGGACATTGCACAAGCATCCAGCATCATTTTTTAAAGTTCTGTAAATTAAACTGGTGTTTTGGCAAGCACACTCCCTGTTCTTTGTACTAATCTCTACTTCTACATGTTTGTTAGCCCAGCCTAATGGTCTTTAATTTTCCTGATAAACAGAAACCAGAAATCTCAATAATTATTCAAATTAGCTTTTACTGTCAAAAATAATACTTTAATGAAAGAAAGGATGTAAAAGAACATAAGCATGTTGTGTACAACTGACTTTGTTTATACTTTTGCAACTATTATTACTTTCTAATCAAGCACTGTGGGTTTCTCACCCTGAAATAGTTTGCAGACCTACTTTCTTTCAATAAGTTTTCAAAGCTGCTAATTTGTTTGCCATATTTGTTGCTATTAACCCCAGAGTCTAGGCCATATAATATAGACTGCTAATGCTATTAACAATGCTTCATTATTTGAATTGAGCTCTGTAGAGCAAAATATTTTGATCTTTCTGTTTCTATTTTCTGAGTATTAGGAGAAAGACGATGGTATCTCTCACACCCCATCCTGTTCCTAAATTCTGCCTGATCAGGAAGAGAATTTTTCATCTCTAATCAAACAAGTAGGCCCTTCTTTATACAAAGAACTTCTTTCTTCTTATCATCAATATGTGGTAGTAATATTTCACAGCTTTACTGCCTATAATCTGCTGGTTTAAGCATAATTCTAAGTTAGAAATTTTTTGCTGAAAACTTTTGTGCTGATTTTTTTTAAAGTACATCTCAAGGAAAATTCTGAAGCTAACGTAAACATGACATTATATAACATGTTTATGAACAAATTAAACAGTATACTTTTCTTACCATAAAAGGTGATCAGTAGTTATTTGCCTGTTTCAAAAATTTAAGAGTCAAGGAAAAAATTATTAGAAGGATAAAAGAACAGAAGATAGTTTAGTGGTTTAAGTTTTAGTGGTCTAAAATGAAAATTAATTAAATGTGGTTTGTTGTTTTTTAGTCATTTCATGATTTCAGTGATGTAGTTAACTGCTTTGAATTACCTACAAACTGAACATCTAGTCTTAAAAAGATGTAGAGTTTTTTACTAGCCTCTGTTAGTAAAATTATAAACAGAATGCTCTATAGTTTTTGCTTACCTTGAAGCTACATTACCATTATTGCCCAAATAGGCAAAAATTACATAAAGGACATTGCCATTTCCTTTAGGCAGTTCCAGAAAAAAATATTGAGCTTCAGAGTGGCATCAATTTCAGTATAATGTAAATGATATTGAATTTAGGAGCTATAAAAATATGTATTATTACCGATAGCTATTATGATTGACTGTTAATAGAATAGGGATTTTGGCACTTGATTCTGTACCTTGTTTTAGAAATTATTAAAATTTTATTGAGTTCCTACTCTGTGATGAGCTATTTTGAGCAATGGGGATATTATTATATTAATAAATATTATAGTGTAAGGAGTTATTTATTTACACATTATGTTTTAATTTACAGCTTATCTTTTGAAATAGCAAAGGTTGTTTTTTTTTCTGAAACAGGGTATTGTAAAAAAAATTACTTTTTAATTCAGAAAACTTGAATGCTAAACATTTTAAGGATATCCAGAGATAAAACTGACATTTCCAGTATTTTGTAGGAACCATTTTCTCAGTGTTCAAAAGTATTAGTATTTTTTAGTTTATTAAACTTCTTTTATGTTTTGCTCATTTAGTGCTTACTAAAGGTAATTAGGTTAATTTAATTTAGAGGTTGTTATTTTTTAAGGTAAAATATAAGCAGTATAATTAGATTATTGTGAAGGCCATTTTTATTTTAACCTGATGCCACCATTATTTTCAGCAATCTAATACAAACTGTCAATTGTTTTCTTCTGTACAGTTTAAAAATATTGTGTTTGACTAAGTTTTGACTTCTATGATTTTTATCTTTATGGAGTTAACTCACTGTGCTTCTTTAATAATATAATTTTTCCAACTTAAAAAAATTAAAGAATTATTTCATAAATATATAAATATTATTCAAGAGTATAAAGACATGCACTAATATTTGTCTTCTAATCTCAACTTTCCACTTTCTGTGTAACCTAAAGTAAATCACTTAAATAGCTTTTTTGTCTATAAAATGGGGATAATAACACCTACTTCACAGAGTTGTTATAAGAATCAAATGAGTTAATATATATAAGATTCTTAGAACAATGCGTAGAGTGTAGGAAAGACTATATATGGTTTAGCTATTATTTGGCCTTTTCTCCTTAAAGTTTAATTATTCAATAAACCCTTGATTTTGTGGACTTCAATTTCACATACTTCAGATTTAATGGACTAAACTTAACAGTCCATATGTAAAATTAACACCTTGTTAATCTTAAAATGCTTTTAACCAAGATTTGCTTATAATTAAATCAACAAGGTTGTTTTTTTGTTGTTCACTGTTACTTCTAACAAATTACAGTGACTAGGCCATATGTTGGAAAAAACACTGTAACTTTTGCCAACATAAATATTACATATCTACAACTATACTTTACATATTTAAATACAAGAGTCACTACTTGTAAACAGTGTTTGAATGATTAGCACATGATCACACCCAGTAATTGGTTCTGTTGGCGCGTGGCATGACTTTCTGTAGCAGTTTATGGCATGCTGGCTTATGTTCCGACATGCGCTAAGCCACACCCCAGCTGTGTGCATTTGTTTACTCGTGGTGATTGGTTGAATGCACACATTTATTAGACCTATTCGGTATGAATTTAAAATTACTGTAATACATACTTAATTTTAATTACATAAATGTGTCTACATAAATAAAAAAGTTAAACTCACTAATTTGTCAAATTTTTAACATATGCATTCGGAAAACCTACTTTTATAGAACGGACTTCCAGCTTTAACAGACAACCCCTCGCCAGAATTAGTTCATTATATCAAGGTATTACTGTGTTTCTTTCAGTTTAAGGCTTATTAGAGTCAATTATGCAAGTGCTGACATTGGCTTCCTGTTAGCAATTATTTTCTTTGATTTTATACAATTAGTATTGTCATATGCTGCTGTAAGAACTGTATTTAAAGATTAAAACTTCCATAAAGTTTTTTGTTTAAATTTAAATTGTTAAACACTGTATTATTGATAGAAAAATATTTTTTTTAAAAAGCTCTCAAACTTGCATAAAAATTTTGGATATTCATATGTGGTTACAAAAGTTTAGGAAAAAACTTAGGCTAAAATAAATGGTTAAATTTTCTAACATGCAAGGGGGAGACTGGGTTTGGGAAGAAATTTCTAAAATCAGAACTTTATAGTAATCTTTACTAGCTTCTTTAGAATGAGATATCAATAAAAGAAACTAAAAATTAAAACTCCTTTTTTTCTGAAGTTCATTTATTTGCTAGTCTCATAACATTAGATTTTAATAAGGCTATGATCTTGATTTTGAATATGGAGCTGATAAATTTTCAACTACATAATTCTTAAGAATTTTTGTAGAAAAGTTATATAGTATTTGCCATAAACTTTGCTGAGTCCTATGAGAATATTTTGTGGAAAGAATATTTTGTGCAAGAAAAAAAAGAATATTTATGCATGTTGAACATAATCTCTGTCCTCTGCACAGAGATTCTTATGATCATTATGAGAGATATAACCAAAATATTTATATTCATCCGGATGCACAAATAGGCATTAGTTATCTGCTGCAATAATAAATAATAAGTATATATGCATAGACATGAAGATTCTTAGATGTTTTACTTCTCATTTAGAAGAATTTCTACGGGGGTAGGAGGTCATGAAGAAGAAAGCCGGCATTATTTTAGTATTATATTCTCAATAATAAAAGAAATTTAACTTTGTAAAATTTGACCTATGTAAGGAGTGTAAATGTATATTTTCAGAAATATAGTGGAATCTTGGCATAATACAAATTTCTCTTGACCTGAATTTGGACATCATACAAAGAGGATGATGTGAATGAAATAGCAGGAAGACTAGTCTCCTTTCATCCATAGCATGAATCCTGAAAATATTTTGAATTGCTATCTCCATTTTAAAAATGAGAAAACTGGTCTCAGAATCTAAAGTAAGAAAGCCTAGACAGCACCATCAATAAATTACTATGTGATCTTGGACAAGATCTGGCTTACTCTGCATCTGAATTCTCATTTTGATTGTTCAGTTATTGTCCTGTTGCTTATTACCTTTGTGTTACAAACCTAAGGAGTAGCAACATCTGACTTTTTGACTTCGCCCTTTTTTTTCATTGTATTTTGCTGGCTTCTGAAAAAAATATTTTAGTTATTTCTAGGTAATGTAAAGGCCATGGTAAATTCAAAGATGTATTTTACTTCTGATATTTCTAATTTGTATATATCTGTACAGTTAAATAGTATTTCATTTTGTTATTTCTGATTTCATAAATATTTTTGAGCCTTTACCATATACTTAGCAATTCAGGCAGCAGAAACAATGTAATAACATGGAACATTAAGCCTGCTTCTCAAACTATGATTATAAATTTGAGAAAGTGGTTTCACTTCTTTAAGCCTCGATTTCCTCAGTGAGAGAGTTAAAGTAGACAGTCTGTAATGTCCACTTTTATTAAAAAATCTGTGATTTTTAAAAAGATGTAAGAAAACATATAGTTTTTAAGGTTTGATGGTTGTTTAATGGAAAGGGCTAGTGATAGGCAGAGGAGGTTTCTTCCTAGTGGATTAAATGGTGTTTTAGTCAGAAATTTAAAAATACAATTAGTTTTTTTTAAAACAATGTATTGATTTTATTTGATAGGGATGAATAGGTGTTAATGCTATAATAAAATTAAATAAAATACTTAATAGAACAAACAGTTTCCTGACAAAGAGAAGTTTAGGAGGAGGGTGGAGATTTTCATTTGTAATGTATGGTCAGACAGGCAAGATTTGCAGAAAAGATGATGACTCTTGCCTGATAAGGAAGAAAATGGGAATTTATGAGGCCCTATAAGACTCTACAATGGTATATTTAGATCAGCTTTCAATGTTAAGATCTAGTTTTTCTGCTTGGAACTTAAGTAGGAAAAACTGAACAGCAGTTTGAATTGCTTGATTTATTGGCACAGCTCTATCTTTAACTGCACTTCCAAATGTTTCATCACCTTACTGTCTCTTTCTATGCATGTTAACATTTTAAAATATATTCTGGTAGTTTTCTAATTCATTGACACTGCTGTATTGGCTTGTGCCCATCATTATTTAAAAACGGATTTGTACTTTTAATAGATTTTCTTTCATTGAGCTTACAAAAATCTCAGAATTTTTTTATTTTTAAGCATATGACTAGGGTATGGTCGAAAGTAATACTTATTTTTCATATTCATATCATTCTACTCTATGTAATATTTCTTTTTTACAGATATTGATGATACTCAAATACTTCCCCGCCCAACTAGAGTCAGACATTTTTCACAAAGTGAAGACACTGGGAATGAAGTTTTTGGTGCATTGAATGAGGAACAGCCACTGCCTCGAAGTAGCAGCACTTCTGACATCTTGGAACCATTCACTGTTGAACGAGCCAAAGGTGCAGTTCCTGTCATTGACAGTTCGTCCCGTC